AACCTTCCAGTACTGGAGACCAAGTGACCTCAACTTGCCTGCTGCTATTTACCAGAGATTCCTGGTGATTGGGTAAAAGGAGTCCAATAAGGAGCTGTGAAAAAAAGAGTGGCGTGGCGAAAGGTCAAAGTTTGAGGCTTAGCCACGCCCACACCTTTATACTTATTTAAAATCCGACGGTTGAATTTTTTCCTCTATGTCTTAAGACTATATAGCAGAAGTTTGAAAGTGATTGGTGAAAAGGGCGACGGAGTATCACTCTCCAAACAACGTGTGTGAAAACCACTAAATCGCGCACTTGGACCAAAATGGCCGACTTCCTGTGCGACTTTGCACTTGGCTCCAAGAGACTTTTTTGTAGGTCCTGAGACACCACATTAGTGTACCAAATTTCGTAATCCTCAGTCAAAGCATGGCTTGGGGCTGACAGTTTTAATGGTCCTAGGGGGCGCTATTTCAGAAAATAGGCCACGCCCACCAGATGTTCACATCAGATCTTTTGGGGGGCCGGACTAGGATCACTCACAAGAAGTTTCGTGACGATATCTTTGGAAATGACGAAATGGGAGGCAAACGTAAGGCCACGGCGGTACGCCTGAATTCGCCGCGCCGCCACAGCCCCGCCCTCTGCCGAAAACTCCCATAAAGTGACGCCAAGCAACCCCCACTTGTCTTGAGTTACCAGCTACAAATTTGTGGTGATTAAGTGAAATGGGGCAATTTGGGACCTTTCACAGTAAAACTTGATCTTTTTGGTCCTGAGGGGGCGGGGCTTGTGTGATGTCATCATCCGACCATTCAATTTACTTTGTGGGTGGATGACGAATGACCACAGAAAGTTTGGTAACTCTATTCCATTCAGTTATGAAGTTATAGCAATTTAAATATTTTTGGCGAGTAGTCAAACTTCGAGGCCTGGCCCCGCCCCTTCAACATATACGAAAACTCAGAATTCTCATCTCATTTTGTTCGCCCATCCCTTCTTAGCAATTTTACACAATTTTTGAGACGATCGTGCGAAAAATGATCGAGCAATCCAATCAGGAACGGACCCTAAAAACGGAAAAAACTGCAAAAAATCGCCATTTCAACCCAAAATGGCCGACTTCCTGTTTGATATTGACCATGGTTGCAAGAGACTTTTCTGTGCGGACTGTTGAGTACTACAAGTGTACCAAATTTCATAACTGTACGATAAACTAAGCTTTATGGAGAGGGCTTTTTTTCACTTTCTAGGGGGCGCTGTTCAGCCAATTTCTTTGCGATTTTTTTGGGACCTTTAAAATATCAAATTTTTCACCAGGCCTGACAAGTTTGCAAAATATTGTGAGTTTTGGGGTATGTTAAGGTCCCCAAAAAGCCGTTCAAAGCGGGCTAAGAATAATAAAAAATAATAATAAACAGAGCAAAAACAAGAGGCCTTCGCAGCGCTTTGCTGCTCGGGCCTAATAATAAACAGAGCAAAAACAAGAGGCCTTCGCAGCGCTTTGCTGCTCGGGCCTAAATATTTGAAAATGTATTTAAAATGGGGAGGCGCTAGAGAGCCCGTACGAGATGGCCCGTTAGCGTGGGAGCTCCAGAACGCTGCATATAAAATCCTACTTTTAATCCTAAAAACCAGACTAGCAGTGAACTAGGAGCATGCCAAAACCCCCGGCAACAAAGGAGTGTGATCTTTTCACCAAAGCTCGCCAGACAAGCCTGAGAAGTGGGAAGGGAGGCCCTTCGGCTGACAACATCGAAGAGAACAAAATGGTGGATGTAGCCGATGTGCTAAATGAGCTGAAAGCTTTACGCTCCGAATTCGGGTCCAAACTGGACAGAATCAACAATCAACTGGGGGGAGCTGGCGAACTCCATCACGACATTGGAGAAGGACATGGGTGAAACTAAACGAAAAGTATCGGCCAATGGAAAACGTATTGATGAGGCAGAAGCCCGTGTAGCCGCGATGGAAGCGGCCGCAGAGAAGGCGGAGGCAGCGGTGATAGCAGCTTGCTCATCTGGAAGCAAAGGCTAAAGATCTGGAAAATCGGGGGAGGAGGAAAAATATTCGGCTGTTTGGACTGAAAGAAGGAGCGGAGAGCAGACGACCTTTGCTGGAATTCATTCATGAAAAGCTACCACACTGGCTGGGTACAGATCCGAACACAGAGTTTGTTGTTGAGGGAGTGCACTGTACCCTCGGCCATGCGACTCCCAACCGCAGCAGAGCCGTTTTCATACGCTTCCTCAAATTCCAAGACAGAGAATTTGTCCTCCGCACTGCAAGACAGCGAGAGATCTCCTACGATGGGGCCAAACTCATATTTGTTCAAGACCTCTCGGCTGAGACGCTCTGGCAAAGGAAGGAGTATGACGCCATCAAGAAGCTGTTTGTGGAGAAGGGGACTTTCAGAGGATTCCACCTTCAGCCGTGCAAGCTGAGGATACTTCATGAAAGAAAGATACGGCTGTTCACCTCCCCCCGAGAAGCTGAGGAATTTTACCGCAAAAACTTCCCCTAATATCCATCAGAAGTCTGGTTTGTTCTGACTCAATCATTGAACATAATTATCCAGAGATCAGTGAGTACACTCAATCAATCCATCAGAACCCTATCACGGATCTTACCTCGACAGAGTGACTGTATTATTAAGGTTAATACGTTCCTAAATAGCCCAGCAAAAAAATAAATAAATAAATAAAAAGTTGATTTACAAGGTTATGGGCTATATTTTGAGAGTAAACAGTCTGAACTGGTTAAAATATTTTTGTAAATGTAATTTTCAATTCCCTACTAACACAGAAAGTCGCCACAACGTCGCATTTTGCGACGTTTCGTTTGTGACGTAGTGACAACGTAGCTGCTACGTTTAGGTTACTACGTTCCACAGGGGACATTGTTGGTACATTGCTGAAACGTCACACTACAACGTCCTCCAAAAGTCGCTTTACAACCTCTGTTAAATGTCCTCTCTGTAACTTATTCGGCACTTTGAATAACAACGTTGCTGCTACGTTGTTACAACGTGATAACTGTAGTTCCAGAATAAATAAAATTTGAGAGATTTTATCATCAAATTAGATTTTCAGCTTATCCATGAAAAATAACACACAAAGATATTTAATTGGGTATTTTAATTGGTTTTTATTTTATTAGAGTTTTTACAATAATTAAATAAACAATTAGTAGTTGCAGTACTTGAATCATGTTTATAGCTAAAATGTCTTTCTAATTTAAAAAAATTGGACTTTTTATTTTATGAAAAAAAAAATTCTAAACTTTGTTTACTGAAAAACTCATTTTTGCTGTTTACAAATGTTACTTTCTAAAATCCACCAGCAAGGAAATGTAGGCTAATTTACATGTTACTGGCCTCACAGCATTCCAATGGAATGGCTTGTTGCAACAACCCTGTTCCAGCCAGTTCTCTGATTTGTTATGGTCATCACATGTTCCACACCATCTTCCAATCAGCTTAATCTGCCTCTTTTTTTGTTCTTATTTCATCCCTTGTTTAATTCCACAAGATTTCCAGTTAGTTGCTCTTTGCTATTTGGCTACTTTGGATTTATTTGTCAACCACTCACTCCTTAGTTTGCTTGCTTCAGGTAAGAAAAAGTTTTATCATGTGCTTGTTAGTTCTAAATTTGGTTTACAAAAGGCAATAGCATATATCTGCCCTCAAACAATAGCTACCGCATGGTAGCTTACCTACTGTAGTTTATTCGGTCTGTTCAAGTAAAATCAAACAAACTAACTGGACTTTTTGCTTGATTTAGAATAATATCAATCTAATTTCAAGCAAGATGACTCTGTAACTATTCTATTGATATAACTACAACCAGTGTATTTGTAGAGTTAGCAGTCCAGCTACCGTTAGCCACTAGGTAGCCCCATTGCTAAGCGGTCATTACACGTGTTCTCACATGTCTGCTCGATCAGTAAACCTCTGGGCTAATGTTCTGCCCTAAACGTTATGCGGCTCAGTGGTTTTTAATAATTAGGTAATGTTTATTGGTGTTTAAGCAAGCCTTTTCACTGTGTCTGTCGACTTTATTGAGATCTTGTGTAGAGAGACGGCCATGTTTAGCTAAACATGAATGGAGCGTTAGAAATTTGTGTTTGGGGCAGGGGGCGTGATGGACTTTTAGCCATTTGAGCAAGGATGTATCTAAAATATCCAAAGGACTGGACTTGGGCAACCCAGTCTTCCAAACTAGCAAAAGAATAAAGAATCAAATTGTTTAGACATTGTAACACAAAGTATTGCTTTAGTTTGAGATGTGTAGTCAAAAGCTAAATTTTCATAAACAATGGGTGAGTTTGTTGTTTTTTGAACATGCAGTTTATTCAGAAATTCCTGTGGCTATGTGTCTGTGTAAACTTGGTTGAAAACTAATCTCTTTTCCAAAATCTTAGGTGTATTATTGTTACTGGACAGCAAACAAAACCACATTCAGGAACCTAAATGTGGAACATCCATCTCCTGATTGGACTCAACATAGAGTAAGGCTATTTCAGCGCCAAACAGGTACTGCACCTACTACTTGGCCATCAAATATAAATGGTTTCCTTCGAATATTTTCATATGAACTTGACTGTTATGCTTATTAAGAGGAATATGAAGAAGCCAAGCCAAGCCAAGCCAGGCAGTACCTGGAAGATTCCCAAGCCGAGAGTGAGAGAGAGAGATGACCAAACGAAAGGTTAAGAACAATAAGCGGTACCTGTCCAGCTCTGATGATGAAGCAGGTAATGTTTCTGTCATAAACATGTTGTATATTCTTTTTAATAATATAAAATAGCAAAAAAAAAAACAACAACATCTGTTTGCTTTCAGGTCCATGCTCTACTGAGAGAACGACAGGTTAGTTTTGAGCCGATGTTCTACTGCTAGAACTTGTGTTTTTAACTAAATCTAATTTTATTTTGTGGGGTGCAGAGCTCCATAGTAATTTTCTAGCCCAATAATGTTGTTTTTTTTTTTTTTTTTCATTTTTTGCAGTTCCCATGGCAAAGAGAACGCTGTTGCTGATAGAACCATCCAGCAGAGATGGTGTGTATATTTTCCTTTATGTTTATCTAATTTATTCAGGCCATACTTCAATTTGTCCTCTAGACTGCCCTCCAGCTACTTTAGACTGCTATCAAATTTATTTGTTTAATTTAGTTTTGATATGTTTTGCCCCCTTCAGTTCCTGTTTCGAAGAGGACAACACTGCCAGCTGAGTCCTTCAACGGTGAAGGTACACATTTTATCTTCTGCTGTAACTAAAATGTCAACTGATTTGTATATTTGCCTTTTAAAACTTTGCACTACTACTATTAAAATGTGTTTTGTCAACTCATAGATTTAATGGCCACAAGTACACCAAGGCAAAGAGTCACCCCAAGGCAAAAAGCCACTGAAGGCAAGTAACTTAAAATACCTCTACCAAAACCTAGAGTGTTGTATTAAAATGTTTTGGTAGATTTTTTTTTGAGAACTTATCATTTTATCATTTCAGATCAAGCAGCAGACATCGCTGATGCTTTAAAGAATATTGCTGCAATCACAGGTGAGATTGAGTTTCCCCTTCTTAAAAGGTCCACTTATAAGTTAAATCTATTATTTGTGTTGTAATGTATGATTCTTCTTTTGTCCAAGATATCTGCAAGTCACTGCTGATCAAAGTGAACATGATGGAGGGGAAAATGCACGCCATGGAGAAGCTGCTCCATAATGTTGCTTCTCGGCATTCTGAGAGCTAAACTCAAGATGATCTGCACCTGGAGCTTTGTAAAGATGCGGAGGACTTTACCTTGCTTGACAATAACTTGCAGGACAAGGCATATTTCCAGCAAGCTGTAAGTAAACAATTGTAGACATTCAGAAAATGGTGTTAATGAAATGTGATATTTAATTTGATCAACTTTGTACAATTTATAAGGTCCGTTTTCTAAGCCTCATTGGAGGACGGAAGCTGGGAGAAAATACAAGAAGGACCATGCTGGCTGTCGCCAGCAATGCTGTTTGGTGTGGATACAGCCTGCATGGGAAGAAGCAGAAAGCCAAACGTGAGTTGATGCTTTTTACTGGACATGTTTTATAGAATTTCATTAAATCTTTTTACAGCTGTCTGTCAAAACTGTAAAACGGTTTCAGTAATCTTAGGGTTTCCTGTATATCACCTGTCTGTTCCCAGGTGCTGTGAAGACCTCGCTTCCAGACTCCACAGATAGGGACATAGAGGTGCAAATAATGGAAGTCCTAAAGCATGCTCCCCAGAAAGTCAGAAGAGAGGTAACTGATTTATGACTGAAAGCTTGTTGGAGACATTTATGTGCTAATTGCTCACTAATTTATACCTCCTTTTTTTTTCCTTCAGGCTGAAGCACAGCATCGTGCCACACAAATGGAGGCCCATTCTTCTGAGGACTAAGTGAACCTGCACCCTTTCTGTTTTATTTTTATCTGTTTTGTTCACAATTTTAGATTTTTCTATTTTTATATATATAATTTTGATCATTTTTTTAAAGCGCCTTGTGGTTTATATTTTGAGAGGCGCTATAAAATTTTTTTGTTTAAATTGTGTATGCAAGTGTCAAATATTTATGTAATAAAAAGCTGAAAAGTCAGTTTATTGTCCATCCTGTGAAATTACATCTGATCCTGCTGCCTACTATTCAATTCAATTCAAAAATACTTTATTAATCCCAGAGGGAAATTGATTGCTGTAGTAGCTCAGAATAATAATAATAATAATAATCAAGTCATCAAAGAGTTGTTGTATATTACAATGGCAGGAAGGATCCTCAAGTCTTGTGAAGAGAATGCTCAGGGTTGTCCATAATTTTCTTGATTCTCTGGAGAATCCTTCTTTGCATTATCTCCTCCAGTGTTTCCGAAACGAAAACATATGCATACTAAACATATGCAGTAGAGCTTTTAAATGAAATCAAGACACCGCTGTCCTATATTACTTGTTTTTAAGGTTTTTATACATTTGTTTTTCCATTCTGGTTGTTTTTGCTGTTAATCTGCCATTAGTTTTGCAATATAATTTCCTGTGGTAAATAATGAATAAAGGTGAAAAAAAAGTTAACCTGAAAACGTCTCTGCAACGTGCCACAAACATTTAGTTGGTACGTTGTCACAACGTTATAATAGCGATGTTGTCACAACATTGCAGTAAAGTTGTGGATATGTCGCGACAACGTTCCAGCAACATTTTATGTGACGTTCTGACAACGTCGTAGCGGAATTTCACTTTGGAAGTCGCTACTACGTAACATGCGACGTTCCTGCAACATCACAGGTGTCAGAAAATACGTTGCGACTACGTTGTTGCAACGGACCTGTGTTAGTAGGGTTTGAAATGTGCGGCGGGTTCTGTTGTAAACGCCTAGGTTGGTAGACTTTAGGGAGTTACTTGTTTAGATGGAGTTGCTTAGATTTGGGAGCTAGGCTGGGGTGGGGGTGGGTGAAGGTACCACTACCACTGTTGCAGCAGGTACAAGTGGGTTGTTGTCTGTCTGTCTGTCTCCCCTCCCCTTTTTTATTTTTATTTATTTTTTTTGTTTGTTTTGCTTTTCTACCCTTTTCCTGCTCTCTCTCTGCCACGAAGAATACCTTGTTTTCAAATCGATTAGATGACTGGCAACCTTAAAATAATAACACTCAATGTGAGAGGCCTTGGCCACCCAATTAAACGTAAAAGAGTCCTCACATTTCTAAAAAAAGAAAAGTTGGACATTGCCTTTTTACAGGAGACCCATATGACCAATGAGGAGCATATTAAATTGAGAAGGGACTGGGTTGGACAGGTTTATTTTTCCAGTTTTGCAACTAATAAAAGAGGAGCAGCAATTTTGATTCATAAAAATTTGCCCTTTATACATAAATGTTCACACACAAATTCGGAAGGTAGGGTTGTTCTAATCCAGGGCATACTTTACAGTCAGGAACTCACACTCCTTAATGTTTACGCCCCAAATGAAGACTATCCTAAATTCATGATAGATACGGTAACATTATTTAACCAGTATAATAAAGACTTTGGAATCATTGCAGGTGATTTCAACTGCACCATGGATAGTAATATGGATAAATCCCACCATGTACCATCTAACCCGAATGCAGCCAAGAGCCTAAGGCGGTCACTGTCTGATGTTGGCTTGGTAGATGTCTGGAGAGAACTCCACCCTACGGTAAAGGATTATACGTTTTACTCTGCCAGACATAATTCATACTCCGGCCTAGACCTTTTTTTCATACCCCAAGAACACCTAGTGTCAGTTACTACGTGTAATATCGGATCAATCCTTATTTCAGATCATGCTCCAGTTACTATCAAGCTGACTTTCTCGGGGCAACCTTATCAAAGCAAACATTGGAGATTCAATACCTCTCTTCTTACAGATTTGACAGCCTGCAATAGTATTAGACAGTGGATATCCAAATATAGACAAGACAATGAAACTTCCCCAGTTACTCCAGCGACTATGTGGGATGCAGCTAAAGCAGTACTCCGAGGCCAACTAATCTCCCTCACCTCCGCAAGGAAAAAAGCTAGAGAAAAACATATAGAAAATTTGAGAAAAGATCTAGCTAATTTGGAACAATTACATAAACAGTCACCCACCAAAGAGAATCTGAAGAAATTGAATGAGGTTAGAAACGCTCTTAATGAGGCCCACATAACTCACGTTAAAAAACTCTTATTCTTTACCAGACAGCAATATCCCAAATATGGCAATAAACCTAGCAGACTTTTAGCCTACCACCTTAGAAAGGAGAGAACAAAGAATATAATTCAAAGTGCGAGCGGTCAAACTAAATATGATATAAAATCAATTAAATCCTCTTTCCATAATTTTTACACTCAGCTCTATAAATCTGACAAACCGTCTGTGGAAGAGGTCCACGCATTTTTAGAAAAGATTTCTCTCCCCGTAATTTCAGAGACTGAAAAAGAACAGCTGGGAGCCCCATTCACATCGAAAGAAGTACTAAAAGCAATCTCATCGATGCCCGCAAGAAAAACCCCAGGACTAGATGGATATCCTGTGGAATTTTATAAAACATTCTGGCCAGAAATAGAACCGATTTTCATGCCTTTACTGTCTGATTTTTTCGTAAGGGGATCCCTCCCAGAGTCAATGAGGACAGCGATTATAACTCTGGTGCATAAGAAAAATAAAGACCCTCTTGATTGTGCCTCATTTCGCCCCATCTCTTTACTCCCAGTGGACTTTAAAATAATATCCAAACTAATTGCATGTAGGCTGGAACTCTTGTTGCCTAAAATCATTAACTCAGATCAAACTGGCTTTGTAAAAGGACGCTATGCACTCGACAATATACGTAGACTTTTGGACATAATTGACTACTCAACACTTCATAAGAAAACCGTTTTGCTCCTGTCGCTAGATGCAGAAAAAGCTTTCGATAGGGTCGAGTGGTCATACTTATTTGCAGTCCTAGAAAAATTTTACCTTGGAGAAAAATTTATCGAATGGATTAAAAATACGTATAATTGCCCACAAACCCAAATCTACATAAATGGCTCCCTCACAGGCAACTTAGATGTATTTAGAGGATGTCGGCAAGGTTGCCCACTCTCTCCATTTTTGTTCAATCTAGCTATAGAACCATTTGCAGAAACTGTAAGAAATAATAAAGGGATCACTGGTATGAATATCGGAAAAGTCGAAAATAAAATTTCACTATATGCGGACGATATAATTCTGTACCTGTCTAGCCCTGAAAACATGATCCCCAAAATCCTAGAACTGTAAACAGAGTTTGGAGCAATATCAGGTTACAAAATCAATTTATCCAAATCAAAAATAGCAATAATAAACTCTCCTATTACGGAAGCCTTAAAAACTCTAGTGCCCTTCTCCTGGGCCCAGGATGGCTTTGAATACTTAAGGAATCACGGTATCGCCAAAACTTAAAGATTTGACTCAACTGAATTATGATCCATTGATACAAAAAATTAAGGAGGAGCTGAACCACTGGAATATGCTTCCCATCTCGTTTCTGGGGCGGATCAATGTAATCAAAATGAACATACTCCCCAGGTTCAATTATTTGTTTCAATTCTTCCATGTTATTTGAAGAACACTTTTTTCAAGGCTTTGAACAAACATATGTTGGGGTTATTAGGAGCGAACAATTAGTAAGCTTCAACTTACTTTTGGATTCTTCAATAAATTCTGTAAATATGGGAATATTTACTGATTTATTAATTAATTAAGATATTCTTAGATATACGGGGCACCATTCCCCTTTTTCCGGGGAAAAATTGAATCCAAAACTCTTATCAGTCTTTCTTGAAGTTCGTAGAATCCTTGGAGCAGAGACTTCTCTTCGACACAACAAAGCTACTGGACACAAAAATCTGAATTTTATAACATTTAATTAACAATTTGTCAAATGAATAAACAGTGGAATAGATGAATAATAACCGTGTGATATGATTGAAGATGGATGTGTTTGCATGTGATGGAGGATGTATGAATGGGGTCCTTTGTTCTCACAAAGGAGTAGTGTGTGTGTGTGTGTGTGTGTGTGTGTGTGTGTGTGCGTGTGTATGGATTCAAAATGGAGTCTTGAATACAAGATGGCTGACCCCTTTGTCTGGCTAAAGTGTGGGTGGCAACTTGCACTTTAACTTCCAAAGCACTTAGAATCAGTAGTAACTTAACCTTAAATCACTCAAAACATTTCAAAAGATCATGAAACAACACAAAAGATTAATCACAAATTAATATCTTTTAGTTTCAGCCTGGCCATGACAGAAACCATTTTAAGATACCAAACAATGATCAATAAGCAGTTTATTCTTTCAAAATGACCCGACGGACGTGTTTGGGACGAAAGAGGAAAACACGAAGCTACTTTTTAAGCAATAGCGCGGTTTTATTGCTTATTCTGGACTATAGAGTTAACGGAAGAAGAAGGAGAGAGAGAAAGAGATGAGTTGCTGATCACCAGAAGAGCAAGGCGTCCCTCCCTCTTTGATTTGACGGTTCTCCGTGTTTCTCCGCAGCTTTCGGCGT